ATCCTACCTATTTAAGAGCATGGGGGATCTTTCCATGTTCTGGTATCTTTAATGTCTTTCATTAAAGACACAAACTTCTTGCTATATTTGTCTTTCATTTTTTTGCTAATCATTACTCAAGATACTTTATGTTTTTCTGTGGCTATTGTAAAGGATGATGTTTCTCAAATTTCATCCTCAGCCTCAGCCCCTTTGTCGTCAGTATATAGTAGGACTACTAATTTTTTTTTTTTTTTTTTTTTTAGTTTATGTTGTATCCTGCTAGTTTGCTGAATGTGTTTATCAGCTATAGGAGTTCCCTGGTAGAGCTTTTCAGGTCACTAATGTAAAATATCATATCATCTGCAATTAGTGACAGTTTGACTTCTTCCTTTCCAATTTGTGTCCCCTTGATCTCCTTCTCTTATCTTATTGCTTTAGCTAGAAATTCAAGTACAAAATTGAAGACATATGGAGAGAGAGGGCAGCCTTGTTTTGTTCCTGATTTTAGAGGAATTGCCTTAAGCTTCTCTCCATTTAGTTTGATGTTGGATGATGGTTTACTGTATATTGCTTTTTATTATGTTTAGGTATGTTCCTGTTATCCCTGATCTCTCCAAGACCTTCATCATGAAAGGGTTTTGAACTTTGTCAAAGGCTTTTTCAGCATCTAGTGAGATGATCATGTGGTTTTCTTTTTCAATTTGTTTATGTGGTGGATCACATTGATAGATTTTCATATGTTGAAATATCCCTGCAACCCAGGGATGAATCCTGCTTTATCATGGTGGATGATTTCTCTGATGTGTTCTTGGATTTGATTTGCCAGTATTTTTTATTGACTATTTTTGCACCAGTGTTCATAAACATAGAAGATATTGGTCTGTAGTTCCCTTTTTTAGTTGTGTTTTTGTGTGGCTTGTGTACCAAGATAATTGTGGCCTCGTAAAAAGAGTTTGGTAATGAATCTTCTACTTGTATTGTGTGGAATACATCAAAAAATCAATGCAAATAGAAGAATGTAAATATGAGAAAATCAACAAAATAGACAAACCTTTATCCAAACTAACCAAAAAGCAGAGAGAGTATATGCAAATTAACAAAATCAGAAACGAAAAAGGGAACATAACAACGGACACAGAGGAAATCCAGAAAATTTTCAGGTCATACTTTGAAAACCAGTACTCCACAAAATTTGATATTCCAAATGAAATGGACAAATTTCTGGATAACTGTAACAAAATTAGAAGTGAAAAGGGGGTAATAACAATGGGTATTGAAGAAATCCAGACAATATTTAGGTCATACTATGAAAGCCTGTACCCACAAAATTTGAAAATTCAAAGGAAATGGACAAATTTCTGGATAACTATCACTTACCAAAATTAAATCAAAAACAGATAAGCAGCTTAAATAGGCCTATTACCCCTATTGAAATAGAAGCAGTCATCAAAAGGCTCCTAACCAAAAAAAAAAAAAACAAACAAAAAACAACCAAACAAACAAAAAGTGTAGAAAAAGCTCTTAAAACAGAAAATTGAATATAAAAGAAAAGGGTAAAATCTATGAAGATTGCCTGCATTCACTTGGTCTACAATGCTGTGGGCGTCAAATTCAATACATATCTTCTATCTTGCAATACACTGAGCTAAGATCATGTTACTTGTATATGATACAAGGCTACAATTAGTCACATTTTCTGTCTTAATTTGGTTTAGTTTATCATCTGAAATATGCATGTGTAATGAAGTTGGGCAACTACCTGATGAGAAAAAATGTTTAATTTACTCACACTATCATGTCTAAGGTGAATGGATCATCACCATGTCTTTATATTGTGGGCTTATTAACGTACATGATCCAGATTATCTCATTAATGAAGCAAAATATAGAATGTACACTTAAAATTATGATTGAATTATTTCATTGAAAACCTCATTCTATTTAGTGTTTATATCCTAAAAATCTGTCAATCTGATATCTCTACCTCTACTTAGTGACTATGCAATAATTATTGTTTTTTATTTTATTTTAAAAACTAAAATTCATTTCTCTTTTGCTATTATCAGAATATATTTTATTATGTTTAGTTTACCCTTAAATTATACTACATTTATATACATTTATACATACTGTTGAAATATTTATATGAGAGATAAGTAGAATTTTGATTTAGTGTTTATGAAGTTAAATTTAAATAAATATGGAAATGACTAGGCTATTAAATTTGAATATATTGAACCAAACACTACATTGTTCTGGGTTTCACATGAAGATAATAACAATAAACATTTGACTGACAGCCTATTCTTACACATTGAAGACAATTCAATCCTAACCTGCCAAGCCTGGGCTCTAGATTAAAACAGGGTGGGCAGGGGAGGGGTAATGTTTAAAAGCATAATACTATCAACTGGAATTTGATAGAAGGGCAAAAGAGATTATGTACCCCAATCTAACCCATCAACGGTTCCCATCCAGCACCAGTCCTTCTTAGGAACTTCTTAAATTCCTGCAGAAATACTGTGTACTGTGGGGAAAATACTGTTCCTTTTTTCTTTTTTCTTTTTTTTTTTTTCTTTTTCCTGAATATGTTTTAAAACCTACATGTTGGTTCACTAGCAAAATTGAAGTTGAAGTTGAAGACTTGAATTTCTAATCCTCATCAGGAATGAGATAACTTGTATCAAGCATTATGTAAATTAGACCATAATATAAACACATTTTGTTTTTCAGTAGAGTAAAATAGAAGTTTTTTGAACCCTGGACTGGGGATATAGTTCAGTGGTTGAATACATGATTAATGTAGGTATAAAATCTGGGTTCAATGGTCAGAACCCAAAAGCAAAATTAAACAAACTAAACAAAAGCAAATTGAGTCAGAGCTTTAAGTGAAAAAATTGACCTAAAACTTGTGTGAAAACCAGAACATATGATGCAAATGTGTTAAGTTCAGACTGTACCATTCACAAAAATGCATCCCAAGTGTTGGAGGCACATCACAAAGTTGGCCCCTGGTCTATAATGTGAATTACTGGACCACTGAATCTATGGAAATTGTATGGTATTGAAACCCAAGATGCCAATACTTTGATTATGACAGCTCTATATCTTTGAAGAAAATTATGGCCTCTTGCACTGTTGGAACATGCCTTTGAGAATGGTTTGTGTGTTCCACGGGTTAATTTTAGTTCTTGGGGGCAGACAAACTTACAAATGGATGACCCTCCTTGATACATTTCTTCACAAACCACTACAATAGCTACACAAGTGTTATCTGCTGTATAGAATTTATGCATCTTACATCTTAGCTTTATATCTACTGGGCCATTTTATTTTCTAGAATTTTTATGGTGTCATCTAATAGTCAAATTATTTGAATTAAAACTATGCATACAGATTGATATCTAAAAAATACTACTTTTCACTTCATGTATTTTCATAGAATGTAGGTTTATATGCTCTCATTGATTTTTTTGCCATGTTATATTTTCATCATTTATCACAATAGATAAAATTGCATATGTTTCATTATCTCTCGAAATAAGACAAAATAAGTTGTCCTAGTAGTCAGGCTAAACAGTGAAATATCAGGCTTTGAGCTTATTTAGAAGGTTGACAATTTTACCCTTATATTTCCATGTCAATTATATTTTGGACTTTTCAACGGAAATATATTCTGTGGTCCTTTAATAAACCATATTGTTTTCAAAAATATCCCATGCAAATCACTTAAAGATTAGCAACAGCATGTACTTTCTGGTGACTTTTTTGTAGTCTCATGTTATAACATTTATTCTTTCTTTATGATTTTACGTGAAAAAACATATAGAAATTAAAGAAATTATCAAAATGTATTACCAAATCTCAGAAATTGTATAATATAGATAAAGATGTTAGTGTGTATTTCTAGAACTTTCAACATTTTAGTACAAAGTTCTCCACTTTGCTGGAAATATAACCCAGTTAAGAACACTTGATGGTCTTGCAAGGGACCCAGGTTCAATTCTTATACCCAGATTACAGGTATCTCCCAGCCATCTGTAACTCTAGCCATACAAGAATTTACAATGTAGACTTGTTTTATTGTATACACACACACACACACACACACACACACACACACACACACACACAGCACAGAGAGAGAGAGAGAGAGAGAGAGAAATTAATGCCTCCCAATGATTATAGTTGTATGGTTTTTAAAATGTAGATAAGAAAAAGTCACTAAATATGTTCCATAAATCAGCCATGTCATGGTAAGCAACTCGCCTTTGGAAAAGAATATAAAGAGTCTCCCTCATTTCACATCAGGGCAAAAACAGATACTCTCTTTCTCCCAGCAGGACTGGCTCAGGGTTTTGGATGACTATTGTAGGGTTATCACTACTCAGTTGCCACTGGTTCTCTCAGTTGCTTTTCTACCCTAAAAATGATTTTGCTCTCAAACCCAGTTTCTGTTTTCAAACATGATTCCAGCAGACTTCAGGGTTGTGACAAAAGATGGAGTTAACACAGAGTAAAGTTATAAATAAAAATTTAGCAATTTGTTTATGAAATTTAGTTCAAGAACAGTTAAGGTGAGCACATAGCTTAGGGAACAGCCAACTATTTCTTCAACTTCTAAAAAAAACAAACAAGTCAAAGTATATTACGATATTTTTCAGACTAGAACAAATACAGAAAAAATTATAGCTGTCATTTTTAAAAGCTTGGAACATGGGATCTGATATGTTTTTGAGGGCCATATATTACTCATTTTTTAAAAATGTTCTCTTTAATTTGAATAGCTCTAGGTGCAGGCTTTTAATTCAAATCAACATCAAGAAAGGCTTGGCTATAAGTATATACTCAAGAACTCCCAATGGACTGCATGATAAATACACTTTTCTGTGTTTCTTATGATAAATTGCTAACATTTCACTGATTTTCATTTAAATTTTCACTGGTTGTAGACATCAAGTGGCTAGTTTTGGAGTATAACATTTGGTGATGGCCTTCTCTGTCTGTTTTTCCCACAGTCTGTTCCCAGTATTCTAGAGGAGTGTTTGCCATTTTTGGACTCTATGATAAGAGGTCAGTGCATACCTTGACCTCATTCTGCAGTGCCCTACACATCTCCCTCATCACACCCAGCTTCCCCACTGAAGGGGAGAGCCAGTTCGTACTGCAGTTAAGGCCTTCCTTGAGAGGTGCACTCCTGAGCCTGCTGGATCACTATGAATGGAATTGTTTCGTCTTCCTGTATGACACAGACAGGGGTAAGTCCTATGCCATATTACAGAAGCTCTACCATTCAGTCTGAGATGTCTTTGTGTGCCACTGATGTTACTTAGCAAAAATATTTTGATCCTTAATGCTTCTAAAGCTATAGAGAGTAGTTTGGGCATATTATCAATGTTTTAATTTCAACACCCAAAGTTTCTAAATTAAAATGATTCCAGCATGGTGTGGTAACTTTTCCTTTTGATCCCAGTACTTGAGTAGCAAGGCAGAATGATCTTGTAGACTGGTCTAAGAAGCAAGTTCCAATCCAGTTGGAGCTACACAGCGAGACTCAGTCTCAAAGCAAAGCAAATCAAATAGATTCCCATTCTGAGCAAATTGGCTCTGCAAGTTTGTTAAATTTGGGCCACAGAGGAAATCAAACCAAGGTTTTTTCCTCTATCAATGGCAACTCCCCCATAACACTCTTTGACTTATGGTTTACCAAACTTTGTGCAAACATATCAACTGAATAACTCCATTGCTAATTCTCCAACAGATATCGGCAGGGTGTTCACTAGATCAGTCAGATCCACAGCTGTGTGTCTAAAAAATGTTTCAGATCTCAGAGATGAAGGCTCAATCCCAGTGAGGTAGCCTCTTGCCTCAGATGCCACTCACAAACTGTAGGTTGTATAGCTGTGTTTTTGACTAACCAGCTTTGAGTATATATTTATCATGCTGTATATTGGGGTTCTAGTCACTGTCTCACTCTGCTTGATTAATTAGAAAGATCAAATAGCAGAACTCAAGATCACTTTGCTTATGTCTTATATACTTATAACATTATATAATTGTTCCAAAGAGAGACAGAGATGTTTGGCAAAATATAGAGGAGAAAAATTTCCTTAGGCTTGCTTTGGTGTGAATTCTTTGGTCTGCTTCATTTCTGGTTAGAATTATATTTACAGAAATTTTTTTCATCCAATGCATAACATATTTTTAAAAATATAACACATGATATTGTGGATGGAATTGTTCATATATGCCTTGCTCAAAATCGTTCGGTGCCCAGGGTGATGATGGACAGACAAAAGAATTTGTTTGTGTAGGTCAAGGTTGCAACATATAGTTCTATATTTACTTTAGGGACTTTACTGCTTGTGTTTTTACTTTTAAAACATCTGTAAAACCGATTGAATGCTGTTTTAAAAATAATATAAGAAGGTGATGTAACAGTTAATGCTAAAGGAAATTAACTATTGAAACACCTTCCAGATAGAATTAAAAGAGTATATAGGAAAGAGTGTCCTCAAAGGTGGACATGGAACTTTTAGTGTGGACAATACATGTAAGTGCCATCATCTTCATCTTCTCATTCTTAAGTTGATAATTACTATACTTGCCAACATTCTGCTATCAGCTTCTTCTTTGGAACTCCTTTCAGATAAGGCTAAAATGGCATAGGTCAGGAGTAGCCACACCCTATGAAGTGATGCTGCTCCAATTCATCTGTGACATAAACAAGCCATACTCTTCTTAATCTTCTCCATTTCTGGTTACTAATTACCACACTTCCTAACATTCTGGTTTCTACCAGGGCTATGCTGCTTTACTCAACAGCCCCGTTTAATAGATACAATTAGGAATGATGATAAAACTAAGAAAAGTGCCAAGTGGAGACAAATGAGTCAAGAATCTTTCATATTCTACTCAAGTATAATATGAGAAAGGATGAATTATTTATCCTTAATATTTCACTGAAGTATTTCCTAGACCAGGAAAAGAAAATCTTTCAAACCCACAAACTAAATAAAAAAAAAAATTCCAAAACTCTGAAATTTTCTATTGGTGAATGCCTCTGAAAACATTCAAGCAATTTTCTGTATTAGTTAGGAGACATTTTTATAATTAATTCAAACACATTTAGTTATAGACATTGACTTACACACTTGCTGTCAGTTGCCAAGTGTGAGGATAATCTTTTCCTACAGCAGGAAGACAACCTTATGTATAACTTCACCTTCCTGTTTGTCCATGGACGGCAAGACAGCCAAGAAAGATGAGGTTATGTAAACATCCACAGAGATTCTTGTAACTGAGGTAGGAACAGTAAGCAGAAATGGGCAAGGAACCTCGTTTTCTCCATAGCACAATTCTTAGATATTGTGATGTTCATTTTCTGTCGTTCTTGACTCACAGGTCCACAGGCTGGTTCCATCTTGGCTTATAAAAGGGAACAATAGGTTAAAAATAGAAAGAATGAAGCCAATTCGGTGAGCCTCCCTATTGTAGAAAAATAGAGATCCATGCCTTCCTAGTGCATTGTACTGTTTCTGATTAAGATTCAAGGAGTTGCATTGAAGAAGAGGGGAAGAATGCAAGAGCTAGAAAGAAGATAGGAAGGAAGGCCATGGAATGTCATCTTCTGTGCTAGATGTGGCCATTACAATCATAAATTCATAGCAAATACAGATGTCTGCTGCCTCAACCCCACTTAAGAGCTATTAGCTACTGATGGATTCAGGGAGTGACAGATTATTGCCTTGAGTTGTGTACCTACTGATGACCCCACTAGGCTATAATAGACACTTCCAAATAAATAATCACATAGATGCACCGGACTAAACTAAAAGTGTCACAGAGCAAGGCCAAAGTCGTGAGCCTTGGAAAGGGATAGGTGGGGGTAAGGGAGAGCTGGCAGTGACAAAAGGCAGGGACTCTAGCAGAGAGTAATCAGGACACGTTGTATTCTTGCATTAAATTATCAAACTATAATATTAATAAAATATTGAAGCAATGAAAATTTTGGAGGATTTGAAGGCAAAGACTGAAAATTAACCTGAATGAATGCTATATTCTGACAAGGACTGATGAACAAGGGGATTGAGCAAAGAACAATAAATAATGGCAAGGGTGGTCATGGAAAGAATAAAGCAGAGCAAGTAGCAAAATAACCTACCAGCTGACAGAGAGTCCTGAGGATGAATAAATGCCATCAGTGAATGTTTGCTTCAGGCAGCTTCTAAACATTTGCTAGCTTAGAGTGGGAATAGGGAAACAAGGGCAGTGCATATCTATCCCTGTGAATGACTGCTATGTCAGTCGAGTTGGCATCTGTCTGAGCTAATCTTCTATTGCTGTGGAAAGACACCATGTCCAAGGGATTCTTATAAAAGAAAGTATTCAACCAGAGGCTTGTTTACACTTTCAGAGGTTTAGTCCATTACCATCATGACTGGCAGCATGGTGACACACATGGCACTGAGGAAGTAGCTGAGACATTCATGTCCTGACCCACAGGCAGGCCTAGGGATAAAGAGGCTGGCCTGGAATGGGCTGTGATGAAGACCACCCCTCAGTGATACACCTTCTAACAAGCGCACACCTATCCCAACATGGCCATACCTGTGTGAGCCTATGGGGGCCATTCTCGTTCAAACCACCACAGCATCTTCAATGGTGTTAGATGCACATTGTTTATTTATACTTCTACCTAGTTGGCTATTCTTTACTTATTTTTTTTTTTTTTTTGATTGTCACTATTCAGCCTTTGAACAGGGTTTGGGCAGCCTTTGAACAACAGGTGGATAGGAATAAGGCCTTTGAAGATCTGCACTGGAAAGGTTAAGTTTTACCAGAACCTGAATGTTCAGAATTACAACAACCAAATGCAAAGTGAGTGCCTAGGAATCCAGAGTCTGATTTTTACCATGTTGATTATTTTAGTTTCTTTTTTTAAATATTAAATCTATGTGCAGACTTTTTCATTTGCTAGAGCTCCTAATTTACATCAAAATTGAGTTATTCAAATTTGTCTGAGTTCTAAGATGGAACATGTCAGACTGATTGAATATGGATATAAGGGGATAACATAGTTTTATCAGAGACAGGCCACTTAAACTTTCTTAACAATTCCATATTTTAAATGACCCATGATCTTCTAAAGCAATGGATCTCCAAATGGTTCATGATTGCCTGAGAAGTCTTATAAAACAAAAACAGCAATTATTCTAGAGAAGGAGTTGAAGAACTGAGGAAGAGAATTCCCTTGTAGAGCCCTTGTTGAATACACTTATTTTAAAAATATATTACAGCAAATCGATATTAATTGTAGAATTTCAATTAACAATGTGCCTTAGCATTATTTACCATGATATAAAATAGCTAAAGAAAGCAATAGCATATTATGCATTGCAATAAAAAGAAAAGTTGTAGCTTATGCCTTAAAACTCCGGCCAGTATTTTGTACATTCAAGTAAAAGATTTAATCCCATAGCCAAGCCATTGGCAGTGGATGATCTAAGTTCACAGTGTTAAGTACCTGTTTTCAAATTCAAGCTCTACAAGTTATTACACTTAATCTTGAAAGTGTTCGATGTTACTAGTTTGGAATTACATTAGTGTACCAAAAACAAAAACAACAACAAAAACCAAAGAACAAAAAAAAAAAAAAAAAAAACAGAACAAAGCAAACAAACAAGCTAACAAAAATAAAAACAAAGAAACATATCCAGGGGGTCAGTCATTACATACATACATAAAGAAAGGAATGCTATATTAGAGACATCATTCCTTTATTGTTATCATCATTGTTAGTAACACAGTGGTCCTATCATATTTTGAGTTAAATCCCCAAACATTTATTATTTTAATATTCCTGTTTTTTTGTTTTGGGTGGGTATTTAATTAAAAAAAAATGCTTTGCTTGCTTATTTTTCAAGACAGAGTTTGTGGGACTTGCTTTGTAGACCAGGCTGGTGTCAAACTCATAGGGGTCCACCACCACTGCTCAGCAGTTTTAATATTCTTATACATTCGTTAAAAGTGTTCAGTTGGCCAGGAGGTGGTGACACACACCTTTAATACCAGCACTCAGGAGGATCTCTGTGAGCTTGGGGCCAGCCTGGTCTAAAGAGTGAGCTCCCAGACAAGCAAGGGTACACAGAGAAACCCTGTCTCAAAAAGCAAACCAAAATAAAAAAAAGTGTTCAGTTGATTGCTTGTATCATGTTGAAAGGCTATGGCCATTAAATACTGTGTTATTTAATAAGAG